AAGTAAGTAGTCATTTTTTACAGAGTGCAGTTTTTGAATGCAGCCGGATGGAAGTTCATTCGAACGTCGGCATCCTGAGGTGACTGAACTATCATGTTGCAGACTAACTAGTTTTACAACCCTAATTAATTAATCTTTTCGAAACGAAAACGCATTTCGAAATTCCCGTTGACATTTCATCAGTTAGTAGACCTACTGTAATTGATGCATGCGTGTAGTCTGGAGAGATTCTCTCGGACGTCACTTTTTAAAATTTTGCGAACTCGCCCACCAGTTGTACGTCTGACGACGACGACGACGACGACGACGATGACGACAACGACGACCTAGGGCAATAAGTTTTAAAATATCCGAAACAAAGTTTGTTGTTTCCTCAAATGACTTCTTCAGCATGAACATATACACACGCAAGGAAGGAGAAACATCAACGTCTGTGATGACTGCACGTGGCCTATGAGAACATATACGTTTACAGTAGGCGAGATTATCTGGAAACACATTAACTCTTATTGCGCGCACATTTACGATACAGGTTCCCCAGCTCATTGTCAGACTTGAGACACGCACAAAAACAGTTCACCCTTTAACCCTGTTGAAGAAGTGATTCTGCAGTTGGCTGAAGCTTGCGCCATTGCACGTCAATTGCATTTCTTCATGCCCTCGACATTGGCTACACTGGCTTTCATTTGTCTCTGAGGAATTTGTGAGTGGCATCTAAACCGAGATGCCGATTGATGCAGGGCACAGTTGATTGAATTACTTCCAGGGATTCACGGCGTAGCCTTATTGGTAGAAAGATGAAAACTAAAAGAGTGTTCTCCCATGGGCAAGATGGTCCCCCTCTCCTCATCACCGCTAACTGACGTTCATCTACAGGGTTTCAGACAGATTTCCCAGTTCGGCATCAATAGACGGCATCAAAACTGGCACATGGGATCTTGCAGACAACGTCTATTCTTTCAAAGGCAATTAATTTACCCTGGAGAGTTTTACTAGAGAGAGAGAGAGAGGGAGGTTGTCACACTTGAAAAGTGGTTTTTTTGTCTGATTCTAGCTATGGGAATCAGTTTGCTGTCACAGGCGTTATTTTAGAGAGTCAAGTGTTTTATCGATTGTTAAAGGTCAGATTAGCAGGTCTGTGCGTTTTCGTCCCCTAAAGTGCAGTAATGATGCATAGGGGGAATTGGTTGTTTAAAAGGGCCGACATTGTTTTGTCATTTGGTGAACTCTATGTTTTGACACCAAAATGACTCTCACCGAATAGTCACGTTCAGTTTGGAACATATGAAATATTAATTGTCGCGCGGTCTAGTTTCTGCGCATACGTAATTTTGAAATGGAACGCGAAAAATAGCAGTACTTGTATGGATACTCTGCCGTGCATTCATACTCGTAGAACGGAGCCGGAATGCGAGCAATGATAAGAAAAGTGACCGCAATATCAGGCCAATGACATGTTCTTACGTTTGCGGTAAATAAATATCAGCATCCTTTCCTTTTTAGAAACGTGAAAGAAACGGCCAACAGTGCCAGTTTTTTCTTGCTCTCATCGTGCATAAACTGAAAGTGCACAAACGTCTGTCAACGGAATGCATTATTAAGACACTCCCCCCTAAATGGGTAACTTAGTAGATAACGTGTTCTAAGTGATCGAAAGCATGTTCGTTGTTAACTTTTGTTGTGGAAGCTCATTTTTATGAAGGACGAGGTTTCATGGGAAGGAACGCCTAAACATTCACTATTTCGGTAAATGTCTTCAGTCAATCAGTATCAGTCAGTGTATTTGGAGTAAACGACAGAAGCCATAAAAACTCCATTTAGGGGGTACAGATGTAAGGGAAAAGAGTTACATTGCAAAACTTTTGCGTGCAGTTTCAGTAAGGAGAATTCATAAGTCCAATAATGGAACATAAATGCGAAAGGGGTATGGTATTCGCGAAATAATGGCGAAGAACTTTGTTCACCGCATTTGGACTGTGAAAATTTCCATATGGGTTAGCTTTGACGCACAAAAAGGATCTGTCGAAATCGTGTTAGTAGTATATTTATAGTCATTTCAGTAATCCGTCGGCAGTTCGGGTTGCCTAACAGCAGGTGAGTGTCCAGTTGTCTCTTGAACACGTTAATGGTAGGGGAATTAACAACATACTCCGACAGAGAGTTCCATTGGTGAATGACCCTCTGTGAGAAAAAGGAGGAACGTTGATTTGTGTGGCCCAGTTCCCTTTAAAGCTGGTAATCATGTCGTCTGAGATAAGACTTGGGTGCCATTTCAAAAACCGTTTCCCAGTCGACATCCACATTAAGTTCTCTTACCAACTGGAAAGTTGCTATGAGGTCACCACAGTCCTGCCTGTAGTGGAGGGGATAGAGGTTCAAGGCTGTCAGGCGCTGCTCGTACGTGAAATGTTTGAGGCCATGAACAGCCTTTGTAGCACGCCGTTGTACACCTTCAAGGATATCTATATCCTTCCGAAGCCACGGCCGCCAAGCCTGTACTGTATATTCCAGGTGCGGCCGCACAAATGTCCCGTATACTTTGCCAAAGACATCTGTGTTCAAGTGAATAAACGTTCTGCGTATCGCGCTCATCACTGACATTGCCCGCGCAGCGGCTTAAGAACGCCGTGTGGTGACGCTTAGATAGTCTTTAATGAATACACCGAGATCTTTTTGCACATCTACGGTTTGAAGTGGTTGATTGTCGAGGAGATACTGTCGTGAGGGTGCATTTGTTCTTCGCCTCGCTGATACTACATGTATTACTGCACATTTTGTGACGTTGAATTTCATGCACCATTTATCGCCCCATGCGTGCAAATTATCTATGTCCTCTTGTAGTATCTTGACGTCATCTTCATCTTTTATCTTTTAAGATCGTCTGCAAAGAGCGCGATGTCCGATTTCACTTCCTGTACTAGGTCATTTACATAGATAATGAATAGGAGCGTCCAAGAACTGACCCCTGTGGGACTCCACTTGTAACTTCTGAGCAGTAGCCACCCGCAGTGACTATTTGTCTACGACCGTTTAGGAATTCTTGAATCCAGTTCAGAAGATTTCCTCTTATCCCTACTTCGGACAACTTTTGATCGAGGCGCTTATGTGGGACGCAATCAAACGCCTTGCTGAAGTCGAGGTAAATGACATCTACTGGATGTCCTTCATCCATGGCCTTGGACCAATGTTCGAGTGACGTGAGCAGGATTGTGAGACAGGACCTCATTTCGCTGAAGCCATGTTGAACTGAAGTGATATGACAGCGGAATGTATCGACTGATGTAATTGATTTTTAACTAACATTTCCATAAGTTTGTAGCAAATGTATGTCAGACTCACCGGTCAGTAATTGGTGGGACATGGTCGTGATCCTCCCTTTTGGATAGGTACGATGTTTGCCAACTTCCATGTGTCAGGTAGTTTGCTAGCTTCCAGCGATTTTTGGAGGATTATAGAAAGTGGTTTGTTTCCGGTTGGATGTTTCTTTAGGGGACAGTATCGTTCAATCAGGTCTCTCATAGTTGATTCGAAGGTTGTCCAGCATTCGTTGACGTCTCCTCGTAATGCTTCCGTCCATAGTGTGTGACCAATCTCTGATTTCATTG